TGTTATACAGTGTGTTATACACAGTGGCGGATCTGTGACGGCAACTCTCCAAATCTCGTGAGAGTGAACTCTAGCCCTGGAGCTGCGGACTAGAGTTTACCTTACCACCACCGGACCACCAGGGATCGAAATATACATCAAGATATTTATTTTATTAAATACATTTTTTTTTTAATTAAAAAGCCTCCCTACCCTCCTTCCTCCCATACAAACACTGCCCCCATACACACACTACACACACTGCCCCCCCATACACACACTACACACACTTTCACACACTGCTCCACAAACACTGCCCCCATACACACACTACACACACTGCCCCACAAACACTGCCCCCATACACACACTACACACACTGCCCCCATACACACACTACACACTGCTCCACAAACACTGCCCCTATACACACACTACACACACTGCCCCCCATACACACACTCACACACACTGCTCCACAAACACTGCCCCATATACACACACTACACACACTGCCCCATACACACACTACACACACTACACACACTGCTCCTAAACACTGCCCCCATACACACACACCCACACACTGCCCCATACACACACTACACACTGCTCCACAAACACTGCCCCCATACACACACTACACACACTGCCCCCATACACACACTACACACTGCTCCACAACCACTATACACACACTACACACTGACACCACACACTGCCCACAAACACCGCCCCCATACACACACTACACACACTGCCCCCCTATACACACACTACACACACTGCCCCACAAACACTGCCCCCATACACACTACACACACTGCCCCCACACACACTACAAACACTACACACACTGCTCCACAAACACTGCCCCCATACACACACACACACACTGCCCCCATATACACACACTACACACACTACACACTGCTCCACAAACACTGCCCCTATACACACACTACATACACTGCCCCCCATACACACACTACACACACTACACACACTGCTCCACAAACACTGCCCCCATACACACACTACACACACTGCTCCACAAACACTGCCCCCATACACACACTACACACACTGCCCCCATACACACACTACACACACTACTGCACAAACACTGCCCCCATACACACACTACACACACTACACACACTGTCCCACAAACACTGCCCCACAAACACAGTACACACACTGCCCCATACACACACTACACACACTGTGTGTTATACTGGGTACAGGGTGTGTTATACTGGGTACAGAGTATGTTATACAGGGTACAGTGTGTGTTGTACAGGGTACAGAGTGTTATACATTGTATAGTGTGTTATACAGGGTACAGGGTAAAAGGGTGTTATACAGGGTACAGAGTGTATTAAACAGGGTACAGGGTACAGAGTGTGTTATACAGGGTACAGGGTGTGTTATACAGGGTACAGGGTGTTATACAGGGTACAGGGTGTGTTATACAGGGTACAGAGTGTGTTATACTGGGTACAATGTGTGTTATACTGGGTACAGTGTGTGTTATACAGGGTACAGGGTGTGTTATACAGGGTACAGAGTGTGTTATACTGGGTACAATGTGTGTTATAAAGGGTACAGTGTGTGTTATACAGGGTACACACACTGCCCCATACACAAACTACACACACTGTGTGTTATACTGGGTACAGGGTGTGTTATACTGGGTACAGAGTATGTTATACAGGGTACAGTGTGTGTTGTACAGGGTACAGAGTGTTATACATTTTATAGTGTGTTATACAGGGTACAGGGTAAAAGGGTGTTATACAGGGTACAGAGTGTATTAAACAGGGTACAGGGTACAGAGTGTGTTATACAGGGTACAGGGTGTGTTATACAGGGTACAGAGTGTGTTATACTGGGTACAATGTGTGTTATACTGGGTACAGGGTGTGTTATAAAGGGTACAGTGTGTGTTATACAGGGTACAGGGTGTGTTATACAGAGTACAGAGTGTGTTATACTGGGTACAATGTGTGTTATACTGGGTACAGGGTGTGTTATAAAGGGTACAGTGTGTGTTATACAGGGTACAGGGTGTGTTATACAGGGTACAGGGTGTGTTATACTGGGTACAGAGTGTGTTATACAGGGTACAGGGTGTGTTATACAGGGTACAGGGTGTTATACAGGGTACAGTGTGTGTTATACTGGGTACAGTGTGTTATACAGGGTACAGGGTGTGTTATACTGGGTACAGGGTGTGTTATACAGGGTACAGGGTGTGTTATACTGGGTACAGGGTGTGTTATACAGGGTACAGGGTGTGTTATACTGGGTACAGGGTGTTATACTGGGTACAGGGTGTGTTATACAGGGTACAGGGTGTGTTATACAGGGTACAGGGTGTGTTATACTGGGTACTGAGTGGGTTGTACAGGGTGTGTTATACAGGGTACAGGGTGTTATACTGGGTACAGTGTGTGTTATACTGGGTACAGGGTGTGTTATACATGGTACAGGGTGTGTTATACAGGGTACAGGGTGTGTTATACTGGGTACAGGGTGTTATACAGGGTACAGAGTGTGTTATACTGGGTACAGGGTGTGTTATACAGGGTACAGGGTGTGTTATACTGGGTACAGGGTGTGTTATACAGGGTACAGGGTGTGTTATACTGGGTACAGGGTGTGTTATACAGGGTACAGGGTGTGTTATACTGGGTACAGGGTGTTATACTGGGTACAGGGTGTGTTATACAGGGTACAGGGTTTATACAGGGGTACAGGGTGTGTTATACAGGGTACAGGGTGTGTTATACAGGGTACAGGGTGTTATACCGGGTACAATGTGTGTTATACAGGGTACAGGGTGTGTTATACAGGGTACAGGGTGTTATACCGGGTACAATGTGTGTTATACAGGGTACAGGGTGTTATACCGGGTACAATGTGTGTTATACAGGGTACAGGGTGTGTTATACAGGGTACAGGGTGTTATACCGGGTACAATGTGTGTTATACAGGGTACAGGGTGTGTTATACTGGGTACAATGTGTGTTATACAGGGTACAGGGTGTGTTATACAGGGTACAGGGTGTTATACAGGGTACAATGTGTGTTATACAGGGTACAGGGTGTGTTATACAGGGTACAGAGTGTGTTATACTGGGTACAGGGTGTGTTATACTGGGTACAGGGTGTGTTATACAGGGTACAGGGTGTGTTATACTGGGTACAGAGTGTGTTATACTGGGTACAGGGTGTGTTATACTGGGTACAATGTGTGTTATACTGGGTACAGGGTGTGTTATACAGGGTACAGGGTGTGTTATACTGGGTACAATGTGTGTTATACTGGGTACAGGGTGTGTTATACTGGGTGCAGGGTGTGTTATACTGGGTACAATGTGTGTTATACAGGGTACAGGGTGTGTTATACTGGGTACAGGGTGTTATACTGGGTACAGGGTGTGTTATACAGGGTACAATGTGTGTTATACTGGGTACAGAGTGTGTTATACTGGGTACAATGTGTGTTATACTGGGTACAGGGTGTGTTATACAGGGTACAGGGT